CGGTATCTCCGAGCAAGTGTATTGAGGCTCGTGGGACTCGAGTTCTCAAGTTGTAACGGTTTGTTAAGCACCCGTAAGCTTAACGGAAGTAGTGTAGCTCGAGAGAGTCTCTCCGGAGGCTGGATTAGCCACAAGTTGTGGTGAACCAGGATAAATCTTGGTGTGCTCCCTTTACTCCTTTTTATTCCGCTCTTTACTTTATCCCTGCGATTTTTATTCCGCGAAAATTTATAAAAATTCTCGTGCCTCACTATTCACCCCCCCTCTAGTGAAGGGCCCTTATTCTAACAATATATATATTAATTGAAAATGGCTAATATCATTTTGGAAAATTATATCTCAGTAAAAAGTAAGCTGATTTTTCTAAATATTAAATTTTATAATTTAATGATTTTTGAAAAATGGTTTAAAATTTATTTTGCAATTATTGAGATATAATTAATATATTTGGGAAATAAATATTTATAAATTCTGGAAATTTAATTTTCCAAATTATAAATGTATAAAATAGTTACTGGAAGTTGGAAATTAATTTTCATGATTTTTGTAAATTTATTTCAAATTTAAAATGAATTTTGGAATAAACTTTGCACTAGCGGCAATTTCATCATTCTGTATTTCCTGGAAATTTATTTTCCAGTTTTGCCCCTGCCCGAAAGTCTCTTAATAGTTTTAGGATGACTTGGTAAAATTTCATAATTTTTGTACCAATTTATGAATTTTTATGAATTTTAGAAAATATTACCAACGTAGTATTTTTCTAGAATTGTCGGGGGTGAGCGCGGTTCGCCCGGTGTATGTATATCTCTATTGCCTGTGTGGATGTATGATATGCATGGTGGATGATTGTGGCTATAGTTTATTTGAATATAATACGGCCTGCGTGTCGTGCCTTATCTCTTAAACTCTTGTTGTAAATCTATTTCTCTCTCTTACCTCAACCGAGGATTCTTTTCTCACGTGGTGGTTAAAAGATAAAAGATTCGAAGTCCGTTCGAGGGAATCTAAAGGAATGGAGATAGCCCGAAGTCCAAGAGCCTGGAAGTCAGTGGGAGCTATCATTTTATTTTTCCTTTAGGGGCCACAATCATTACACGTTTATTTACTGCGTATTTTGAATGCATGTGAGTGTATGTTTAACGCTAGTAAATTGACATGTGCGCGGCATGTGTCGTAGGTGAGATCGTAAATTTTAAAATCCCTCGAAATATTAAGTCTGTATTGCCTTCCGGCGCCCGGCACCTTTCCGGCTAACGTGCACTGTCACGTACTCAGCCCTAGCAGAGCGTAGTACGGTGTATGTTATGCTGGTCACGGGAATCACTTAAGTGGTCATTGTCACACGTTGGGTTAGACATAACTGAGTCTCGGTCAAATGGATGGATGACTCAGAGGCGGGTTTTGTTGGGGTCACTATACTGACAAGTCGAATTACTTTACTCACTCATCCAGCCAGAAGTTGGGTCTCTATGACTTAACTGGGCTAGGCCCTAACTAAAGTAGTTGTGCATGTGGTACGTGCCAAAGCCAATCACATGTATAATGAAACGGTGTTCTGGTCCCTTAGTAGTATTGTCGTTCGCCCAACACAAGACCAAGAACTGTGAGCGCGGCTCGACAGTTGGAACTATGTTCCTACCTAAATAGTTAAATTCTAGGTACGAACCTCAGGTCAACTGGAATTTAATGATATATGGATCTTGGCCCATTAAGAGAATCTCTAGGAGAATCTCCGAATCAACATTGAGGGTTGTTGGTTTGTTAAAATAGTGGGAAATAATTAATTAAAGGCCTAATTAATTATTTAACATGATAGATAACCTAGTTTGCAATTTCATTCTGTAGATGGCATCGAATAACACGTACAGTCATTCCATCAACCTGCGCTATATCCTCGAGAGCCAAAAACTCTCTGGGGAAAACTTTCTTGACT